GAATTTTAGAATGCGGTGGTCAATTTCTTTCTTTCTTTTCGTAATAATCTCATACGATTGAAAATGCATCGAACAAAAAATACAATGAACGTGCAAATGAGTTTATTATGAGTATTCACTCAGATGAAAATGACCCTACCATGGCAAGTAAAAGATTTATTGAACAGGTTTTAAAGCCACATAATATAATAAACACGTCAGGAATAACGCACATCACAGTTGCTACACACTGTACTTTTCGGTAGATCATATTACATTCGCGTGGGAATACAGCTTTTATAACTTATTACATAGTGTGTCGGGAATTTCTTTTACGATTATACGCGCTCCGGCGTTTGTATGATGGCACGGTCTGAGACAAAAAGACTTGGAAAATACGGCCAAACCACCTTTAACAGAGAGAGAGAGCAATCAGATCGCTCTTACACTCATTTTATTAAGACCTAAGAACTGTTTGAAGTTTGACATCTTCGGGACTAAGAGACCTGCCCGCATAATAGAGAGGTGTTTTTATTGTGGAGGTAGGGATTGTAAGAACTTGATATCTTTGGGACCAAAAGAACTGTCCGTATTGATATCAAAAGGGCCACCCATAATAGCTGTAATAGGGAAGTCTCCGTGTTTTAGGGGTAATAGGGATAGTATTAAGTTTGGTACCTTCGCAACCAAGGAAACTGTCGGTAATATAGAGGTGCCCATGACAAGAACAACGCCGTAGAAACCAATGAGCAGTCTGAGCCTTGATTACCCTATAGTCCTAAGAAATACGCCAAATAAACGATAATCGGGATTAAAACAAGTAATTGCCCTAGACGGTGCTAATAGGGTCTGAATGAAAAAGAAACGTCTTCGAAAAGCCAAGCGGTGTATAAAGAGGTTTTTGTTTCTTCTATCCTTTTCAATTTTTTTCTGATTAGTTCTTTGCGCTTTCCTTTGTAATCAATGATAATTAATAAACCGAAAGAGGTCTTTGTGACGTAATTCTATTACAGCGCTATGATTTCTTTACATGTACGTGTACAACGCAGAGAAGCTAAATTATGAGGTCAAAATTTCAGCTTTTAATTAAAAATAACAAAAAAAGCGGCATTGTGGCGACAGATAAGGCAATTAACCGAGAGAATTAATCAAGCCGGGGCGCCATAAACGGGATCCAGAAGGCACAAATGAATTTTTTTTTTTTGCCGGTAGTCTTGTTGGCATAGGTACGTACATCTCGATATCTTCCGAATATTATCAGGTCAGTAAAAATATAAATTAGGCGATATAAGCAGAACCATGTTCTTTATCGTGGCGGAAACAACAGGCAACACAGAAACCTCATGAACATTACCGCGCATGCATTATTACGAATACCTGGTTTAGTTGAAATGTTAGTACATGTATTGGAGACGTAACATTTCAGCCAAAGCTGGAAATTGCTGCCGTCAAATGCAAATACCAAGAACTTAAAAATTTGTCGTTCAGTGGCTTATGATATTTGCTTTCAGATATATATGGCTGAAATTTAAGGGCTTTCAAGAATTTTGAAATTCGGAGTCTAGATTCTAAAGCTCGAAAGAAGGTGGGACACCTCATTAACATTAAAAAGCGTAGTATTCGTAAGGAAGAAGAAAAGCTAAGTTAGTACGAAATTAAGGGTCCCCAAGGGTAATCTCTCTTATGGGCCATACGGGGAGGTTCCGCCCAAGAGGGGAAATTTTTCTTAAGCTTCGGGCTGAGCATGAAAGGGAATGGGGAAACGAGTCATTTCAGCCTGTAGAAACAAACAAATGCGTTTTATTGCTGTGAAAAAGTCGAGAAAACGTTCTGGTTTTGTGATCTCATATTGCGTAATCTTGGTAATCCTCAAAATGGCCGTAAACATAAAGAATTTGTAAGGGAATTCAGGTATATAGATTCAAGAAGATAAATACTCGCAGCAATTCTAAAATACACTTTACCTTATTCACTTGGTTTGTTTTTGCTTACTGTTTCGTGATTTTCCCGATCTGTTGTGACTTAATCGATTTCCTTTACCCTCGGGGGTATATCTTCTTCTTTACAATATATAGGTGAAACTAAGCGACGTCTCAAGGACAGATTTAACGAACACAGACGTGCAGTCGACAAAACTAACATTAAATCTAAACCCACTACTGTTTCTGAACACTTTGTCCCTCACTCTAACCATTCTCATACTGACATGCAGTTAATCCCACTAGAGAAAATTCATTCTTCACGTGACTCAGTTCGTAAGGCCAGGGAGTCGCATTTGATTGATAAGGCCATGACTCTTGAACCTCATGGCCTAAACCGCCGTGACGAATAATTGTAATCCATATCCTTAGTATTTTTCCTCTCCAGTTTTTATGTTGTACGTCATTTCCGCCTCTCCCTTTTATTGCGACATTCTCCATCTATATAATATTGTGATTGCTACATAAGTTCAGTAACATCTGTTTCCTCTCCAGTTTTTATGTTGTACGTCATTTCCGCCTCTCACTTTTATTGCCACATTCTCCATATTTATAATATTGTGATTGCTACATAAGTTCAGTAACATCTGTAAACCTGAAGAAGGCTGGTATGGCCAGCCGAAATATTGTTATAAAAAACAATACACGTTGTTTTAAATCGCGTTGCTGTAGTCTTCGGACTTCTCGTTCTTGTTCTTTATATTTTGGCTGATTTGATCTCTTCTCTAGAGATCCAACGTTTACAACTAGCAGGATCTTCGTCCACGGTTTTTGCAGTTAATTTAATCCGTATATCTTCTTGAATCTATTACCTGAATTCCCATATAAATCCGTTATGTTTACGGTCATTTTGAGGATTACGCAATGAGACCTCGCGTATTACATACTGAGTTTGGGCCGCCTGTGGTATAACAAAACTGTAGGAGCAAAGAACGAGGAACAAGAGTCAAATGCCACGCGAAAAATGGCGCGAGTAAAAGAGCGGCCAAAACCGAAAATCTCGTTCCTCGGTCTTTGTTAGACTTTCAAAAAAGTCCTTCGTCGGATTTCATATGGCGTACGATAATCTGGAGGACCAATGCGTATAAGCATTTATTTTTGTGGGTGGCGACTTTTTGTGTTTTGCAGGAACCAATTTTTGCGATTAGGACAGATTGGTTTTTCTTGCTGGAAATTAATTTTTGCGATTTGCAAAACGTACCCAGCACCCAGCATTGATAATATTTTCGTTTTTATTAAATATGTGCAATAGAAATATATAAATTCAAACAATAGAGCAGTATTTCGTTGTACACCGTTTTGTTCCTGAAAGAAAGAGACAAGTTGTGATTGAACAGACACGATTTCTTAGTACTGTATTTTTGAGTGTCGAATTTAAGTTAGAGAATATTTACTCTGGAGTAAATTTTTGCGGGAAAAATCTTTGCAGTAATTTTTATTTGAGGGAACTTATTTTTGTGGATCGCTGGAAAAATCGCAAAAATTAGAACCCGCAAAAATTTCGTGCCACACGGTATGTACAAAAAAGAGCAAAAACTTTTCGGTCTATGCTCATTAGATTAAAAAAAAAACCTTTCGTTACATTTGAACTACACTAACAACAACGTACTGATTATTGGTTCATTGTTATCGTTTTTTACTCAGTAGTACACAATAGACTGCCTATTGACACCCGTAAATATCGGCTGCTTCTATTTATGGACAAAAGAACAATAAGCAACAAATTAACTGTACATTAATACATTAAACTAGTCAAACATGAAGGCAGTCGTGATTGGCCCATTAGATAATGGCGACGAATTAACTTCCACTTAAAAGTTAATATTTTAATTACAAGCGCCCAACATAAAAGACCATGCAATTAGCCCTGGAATCCAGACAAAGGTTTCCGTGAAGTAAATCCAGTTTTTGTTTGTCTCTTAAAACGTTTTTCTTCATAGGTGCGTTAAAGTACACAGTTTGATAGCTTTTTTTCGACCAGACAGAGGAGATTGAGAAGGCATGGAGCAACAACGATCATTGGTTTGGAACAGCACAAACAACAATTCTTCGCCCAGCGACCAAATGGACATGTTTCAATCCGAATTGAGCGCCTCTATGATAGCAATTTATGTTACCCTCAGTACACTGGGCCTCTTTATAATCATTATTAACGCCTTGGTCATTTATCTCGTCATCACCCGGGACTACCTGAAGACTGTAACTAATTTGTGTTTGGCAAGTCTGGCCGTGTCTGATATGTTCTCTGGATTGTACGCCATCCCACTCATCATAGCCTGTAGCACTCATATGAGCGTAAATATCTGCATTGCCATGGACTTGGGTCAGAGATTTCTATCGGTATCGACTGTGTTGCATCTGTTGCTGGTAACTATGGAAAGATATTCCACGATCGTGCTTTCGGTGATGCGTACCACCTCTGTGATGAACAAGAAAACCTGCTTGGCAATTTTACTCGCGTTGTGGATGTTATCGCTTTTTGTCTCTCTTATTCAGCTATCAATTCTGGACCCAGACGCCCCGAAACCAAGTAGAGACGAACTCATCTACGACTTTATTTGTCTTGGGTTGTTAGCAGTACTTCCACTCGTTGTAATGGCGGTGGCGTATCTTCATATTTTCTACACGCTTCGAAAACACGTCCAGGCAATAAAGCGGGACGTGTCGCATCTTTCTTCAAAGTGCATGGCGCGCAACGCAAGGAAGGAAAGAAAAGCGCTTCTTATTTATGGCGCCATGATTTGCGTCTTTGTTCTGTCATGGTTTAACTATTTCTTCGCCTCGCTACAAGAAGATCTAGGAAACCGAACGGGGATTCCTTTCTGGGCTGACGTGATTTTGTTATTTTTGAGGTTCAGTACTAATCTTCTTAACCCGCTATTGTACACTTTTCTCAAACGGGACTTTAGACGAGCAACAAAATCAATCCAGTTCTTTGGTTTGAGAAAAAAGTACAATCGCAGGACAACGTCGTTTTCGAGTTCATTTTCGACCAGACGGACTAACCTGTCCTCCGTTTCCTCCGGCGAATCACAAGTGTAACGCAACCACCAGCGTTCAAGTCACTGATGTCACGCAGTAAACCCGGAAGGGGGGGGGGGAGGGTGGGGGTACTTGGGTTAATTTTTGCTAGGTGTGTGCCGCTGGCCTCTCAGAGCCCTTACCCCATTTTAGTCTATTCTTTGGCCAATTATAGACCTTCACTTTTGGGCAAATGTAATTTTCGCGATTCCAGCTTAGTCACTTTCTATTTATGTATCTACCTTGGCAATCCGTTTAAATAGATCATCCTAAAATGAATTGACCCATTTTTTAGATTTAAACATTCTGGTACGTTTGATAACCGTAAATATGAAGAACTTTCTTATCCCAAAAATCCGAAAATGTGCGACCCCATTCTAGTAACTCTGTTGAAAATGCTACCCCATTATAACTTCACTCCAGTTTTGAAAATGCGACCCCATCCAGCAGCACTTCGCTATAACCCTCTTATAAGGAAGTACCCCCGGGGGGGGACAGTCTCACGAAAGTGAAAGAGAAGTAAGAAGAGAGATTTCATTAAGCAAATTTCATTGAAGTTTCTGTGATTTTTTAAATTCACTACAGACCACAAAAATGTACCAAGTGCAGGTCAAACCTCTCCCAGAATGGAAGAGAGTCAGGTTGTCATAGCTTATACATGCTATGATATACATGTCCTTGATGATGCTAATTTTATTAACTAAATTGGAACAGCCTTATTTAGCTGGAATAATAATTATTAGTCACTAGAAATTAGAAAATTGCCTTGTGAGACAGTCTCTGACCTGTGGTGTCATTTTTTCTGTGTTTTCGGGACAGCTGTTAGCCTGTGCCAGGCTCTCAGATAGGAGGGGTGTTGCAAAAACAGATAATAGGGATGTCATGAAAACAAGGTCAAGGGAAATACAGGACATGTGTGATCTGGGGCCTGTTTCTCGAAAGTTTGAACAGTACCTTTTCGGACCCGGAAAGCTGTTTTGTGTTTGTTGTGTCTGCATTCAAGAGCAAAGTTTCAATAATTTTGAGAATAATACAATGAAACTATCAGTTAGTGAAGCAAAATTGACTGTTTCATGGGCCAGGAACTGTGCTACTATTCAACTGGACAGACAGGCAGACAAGCAGACAGCTTAGGAAATTTTATCAATTACATGATCTTGGTAAAAAATGTACCAGAAGATAATTTAAAATAAATGAATGTTGGTGATAAAATTAACTACTATTAAACTACTATTAAGTAAGATCATCAATAAAAAAGAAATTAAAAATAACACCATCGGCTAATTTGCAACTTGATTAATATAGAATAAAGTAAAAAGATCACCTCTTGCCAGAGTTATTGCCATAGACACAGGGTAAAAGGAGCAAGATCCACAGGGAGCCCAAGCAGCCAGAGAAGAAGCATTGCAACCAAGAGAGATTATGGTGTTGCAACTCATCTCTGGGTAGAGTGATCCTCAAAATTGCACAACAGTGAGTAGTCATCCTGTCATTCACACTTGCCCAGAGCTGGTGAAAAGATATTTTGAAAGGATTACTGTGGAAGTTTAATTTATCTTGGAGAAAAGGGAGTTCTATGAATAATGACAGGAGCCAAAAACCTGGATAGTGCAACTCCCATACTTATGTAGCCTATGCAATGGCATTTGCACAGAGCATATTTTTAGCATCATTTTGGAAATATTTTTTCCCACAAAAATGAAAGCACTGTTCCTTACATGTGAGCATCCATAGAATGATAATCCCAAAAAGGCAAAGTAAATGCATACAAAATTCAATATCACAACTACTATTTTTGTCTCTGATGTTTGCTAACTGATTTGTAAGACTTATTTTATAGTCAAAAGTTACAGGAAAATTGATCTAAAAAAATATACTGGTCTGTGAAAACGCTGTTGCAGTTGCTCACTCCAGCTTATGGGCCCCTGATAATTGGGAGGCCGGAGCAATGACTAACAGATTCGTTTTTTCAAATCAATATAGAATCTATGAGGGTACACTTGAGAAATTAACATAGCTGCAGGCAAGTGGGTCTGCACAGTTTTCTTTTTTTGTTAATTTTTAATGGGCTGAAGAGCACTCAGGGATTGCATCTCTACCAAAAATCAGAAAGCAATATTTTGAACCAATCGATATACTACTGACAAAACATAGCATTGACAGATCCTCCATAATTCTTAATTTCTAGCCACATGAACCGAAACATCTCTCAGAAGCACAAACAGTGAAATCAATAAGGCACAGCTGGTCAAGATATAAGGTAAAGAAATGGGTCGTTAAGCAGCCAACAATGTATGTACCACAAAAGTTCCTAATGGTGTCCTAGGCAAGAAATCACTGTATGGCTGAATCTGTGGGTAGAAAGATAAAGCAAATCCCATGTTCTGATTGGCTACCTGAGGAGGCAAGATGGACCTATCTTGTCTTCTTGGGATTTCCCATTTTGGGAAAAAAATTGGCTTTTTTGCCATAAAATGAATGCTTATTGACCCAGACTGAGGTCAAGTGGATTGCTGAATATTGGCCCAGTTCTTTTTTCATATTTTAATGTCATTGACTTTGACTTTGTGTTGGTCCATAAAAAGAAAAGAGAAGAATTAACTTGGCCAATATAAAGCTTGATATTGACCTCTCACTTGGTTAATAATGCATATTTACTATTCATGTCATGCTTGGATTCAAAACCCTCTTAATGTACCACCACCTATTCTATTAACTGTCAATTAACATCACTGTGAGTAGGCACAAACTTGGTTAACCTACAAACCTGGGCTGGATTGCCTTGTTTAATACCAGACAATGATACCCGTTGTATTTACTTTATGTAAATGAGTTGTTCCAATCTTTTCTCTCTGCCTGGTCATGTGTAAATTAGTGACTACCGGGGACAAATTCTGTAAAAAGCGCCAAACAGACATATCCAGACAGGGGCGGGGGCGGTGGGTGGTGTTGAAACTTTCAATTGCAGGACTTTATGGGGTAGGAAAATTCAGCAAGTATTTTTCTGGGTGGCTAGATTAGATTTAAGTAGGGATTTCTTTGGCTACTCAGAATAATCTAAAGATTTGTGGAAGTGCCTGCATAGTTCTGTGATTAAAGGTCAACCAAACTTGTTTTCCTCAAGAGCTGTAGATTTTTAAGGCTCAGAAATTCGGCATGGGATTTTTTGGGGGTTAATTTTTGGTCCAACGCCCAGAAGTTCGAAGCCCGATAAGCCCTTAACCCAGAGTTTACTTTAACCCTGGTTTCTTTTTCTTGTGTTCAAAAGCATTTTCTCGGGATAATTTTCTCTGTTATTTTAAGAGCTTCCAATCATCAACTTGTAGACAAAAACAATTAAAACTGAAATGGTTTTTAAGCTTTCAAATCTTAATTCAAATCTCGCACTAACCCTGGGTTATCTTAACCCAGCTTTTAACAACTCGGCCCTGGGATTTTTTGGGGTTTTGATTTTTAGCCCCATTTGGTCATCCCTGTCATTTGAAATCCAGAGTTACCACCATGGGCCCAGAAATGCACCCTTGAGTTTAACAAGGACAAATAAACAGTAACTGAGTGTACTTATCTCTAGAAAGCCTGAAAAGGCCTTGACTGTAGGGTATAAACTGCACATAAAAAGTTCTGTATAAATGCTTTACTAAAGTTTCTTGTTTGGTTAAGTTTGTGAGCACTTAATTTAAAACCGTTTAGCTCAAGGGGATGATTATTTACAGTTTGAAGAATTTTTTATTTGCACAGGCAGGTACAGCGGCTCAGCTGTTAATGGATAAGTAAGGAATTTTAAAATGCAAAATGCCTTCCCTGGGGGTAGTACGGACACTTGTAATATCATGTAATATTGTAAACGATCAAAGATGTATGTTAACATCATCGGCTTACAAAAGCTTATGAAACCACTACTGTTCGCTTATAGTGCATATATACTCACCCATTATAACTTTAAGCACCTCAACAAGACAAACAAAGCATCACCATGAACCCAACTGTGACAACTACAAGCAAAAGACGGGACATGTGCTAACGTAGTTCCCAGGTCCTCGCGAGGACCGCCTTTGAAAAATGAGCCCGCGCTTCCCTTCCTTTCTTGGTTTGCTGCTTGATTAATTAATTAAGTTATTTATTCATTTTTAGCAATTATCGGTTTAGTCAAGAATAATGCAGATCGATCCAGGCGGATCCTCATATTTCTTTAGATCATAGGAAAGCCGAATCCAATTACTCACATAACAATTTTTACGTGAAAACTTGCTCACCTTTTTTCATCGAGGATGTGAATGAGGTTAACCGACTAGCAACAAACCGGGCGAAAAAAATAACTGACTACCGACAAAACGAGAAAAATAGTACCGACAACGAACGGGGAAAATATTAACCGACAACCGACATGGTCCAAAATTGCAGGGATTTTTTAACTCAGAGTAAATCGAGTTTTTTAATTACTCATTTCATCAAAAGTATGCAGGTGTGAAGGTAAATCATTTTAAATCCCAATTTGGTTATTTATAGAATTTCCTGTCATCAAACTGCTTGTGTTAAATTGTTATAAAATAGTGTAGGTTCGATTTTCGCTTTTTTCCTGGCATGTCAGTAGAGGACTGCCTATTTCGTGCCAGCAACTCAAGCTCATTTCAGACCGATGGTGCATGCGCCTTTGTTTCTCCTCCTTTTCGGAGAAAATCCAGGAAAGCGAGCGCTCATTACCCAGGAAACAGACTTCAGTGACCAAAGTTCATCTCAAACGCTAGATTGGGCCTTTCCTCTTCGGCCACTTATTTCTCTTGATTACTTCGCTGGTCTGTGAAGTGGGAAGAACTGGCCAAAGACTTCTCAAAGTGGCGTAAACGATCGCGCAGCTCAAGCAAAACAGACTTTAGATAAGGTTCCATTGTAATTAAATACTTAATCTACGCGGAATGAAGAAGTGTTACCCTCGTATAGAGTTTAAACTGTGTGCATTGAATAAAGAATATTAATAATTAACTTGTTTTTTCAATCATTAACCTAGAGTTACCGACAAAGTA